TTAAAGAATATTGGAGATCAAGAAGCAGGAAACAGAGAATGGGGGAGAAGAAAAAAGGAGGCAAGGGATGGGAGGGGAAGGGAAACAGAAAGAGTAAATAAAAGCCAGGGTACAGTCAATGGAATGGCCAAGGGCTCAGTCAAAGTATCTGTGAACACTTTAATGGGACCTCGGCAAGGGGCACTGGAGAAGGCAGTGAGCCTCAGCCTTCATTGCCTAAGCAATGGATACAAGCAAGGACTCAAGTTTAACACAGGCAACAACTTGCATGTAGGAGGGAGATTGGTAACATTCAACAAGGGCCTGAAAGAAACCGCTGCATGAACAGTGTAACGCTGTGTCCACGGTACTGTCTTAAAGCCATCCTGGGGACCTCTTTATCTTTTTAACAATATTTACAACCTGGGGTACAGCCTACTGTGCACCAAATTAAAAAGTAATAAATAATAAAAGAGGAAAAGAAATAAATAATGGCAGTTGAATAATAACCAATAGAATGAAATAAAATATAATAAAAAAAAAAACACTTTAAAGAGGTAACTTCCTCAACTATGATGTCCACATCTTCTCAGGCAGAACACGCTCAACGTGATTGGCCCATTCCTTGATGGCTGAGGGTCGTGATGAATAAATTATTGCAGTTTGCGGCTTTCAGGAGCCGTTAATGGTGGGCAGGTCTTTTTGCTTCTTCATAATGTGCCCACAAAAGGTTGTGCTTGTTCAGTTTTCCAGACTTGCTTTAATGGGTCTATTTCAACCCATGCTCTTTGACACATGTGCTACTTCTTTAAATGTGTCCATCTTCCTTCTAATTTACTAATTGTCTTGTCATCCATGGGGACCCGGGCACTAGCCTCACAGTTTAATGGAACTCTAAGGCAGAAGAAATCAACTGTGGGTAAAGCTTGTTATTTTTATTTTTTATTTTTTGCATATTTCCATTTGTTGGCTACATTCTAGATAAATTAGATTGCCAGGTAATTGAATTTTGAATAGGCAAGTTATGATTGTAAAACTTACAATTTGAGTAAAAGTTTTAAAGTATGATGTACATATAGAAAAGTGCACAAATCATAAATCTACAGATCAATTATTGTTAGCAATGGAGTACACCCTTATTAGGTGTTCCTAAAAGAAAGAACACATTCCATGACCCATTTTATCTTTTTCAAAGTATGCATCGATTTCCTCCTGCAAACTTGCAATGTATCCTTTTCCATATGCATCACCTGCATCACGGAGTAATTGCAACAATTGTGGGAAGCTAAAAGATTAATTAGATACTTTCCGTATTTGACAAATGTGGAAAGTGAGGGTTGGGTAACTTAACTGATTTCTCAGATCACAAGCTCAATAGCAAGGATGCTAATTCTAGCGTTCCAGTGCAGGAATCTTCCCATTATACTATGAAATTTTTTCAGAAGATACAAATAGGATAGTACCGACTTAAGTATCAAATTCTGGAGTGGAGCAGACATTCTGCCAGCACCTAAGGCTCTGGTGATGGTGTGGAGCCTGTGTCTGTTCTAACCAGTGCCCCTCACATACATACACCTGTTCACAGGCTCCCCTGAGGGGAGGGGAGGAGCATAAACAACCCGCAATTTCACCAGGTCCCCGACAGAAAGTCCTAGTTCAAAGCTTAAGATGGCTTCACAGTCTCATTTTCTTAGCTCATTTCTTCCATCCCTTCCATCTTTTCGTCCTTAATAAAATAAATTTAATGGAAATGGGAGGACTGAACAATCACAAGAACTTTTAAAAAGCATCCCAAAACTCATACAGTATTTGAATCCACTCTCTATTCGCTGTTTCAAACTACCGTCCATCCAAGCCTCCAAAGGTTTGAATTGCAATGGTGGTCCATCTGAATCTGAATACAAAATCCCCAATGTAAAAATGGCACAGTTCAAAAGCTTCACAGATTAAGGCTCACTGTGGGTCTCCCAGCTGGCTACAGGAACATACAACTTTATAAACTGCCTATCAAAAAATTATTTAGCAAATAAATAAAACACAAAGCTGTGGGGAAGGAGTACTTTTCCTTAAGTTCTTTTCCATAACACAGAACACTTAGACTTGTTCCAGGCAGGTGAATTTTTTTTTAAATGACAGTTTGGATAGGATGCAAACTTTCCAAGTGCTGCAACTGTTGGTATCAATGAAGTAGAGTGAGCTCGGGGGCCATGTTCTGTGAATTAAACCCCGCTCCACAATGTGTCCTTGTTCCTCCTTCTGTAGAGAGGTGACTGTGGCACCCCACCACTGAGCTGCCCTGAGGATCCATTTAACATGATTCTCCATACTTCTTCCTTTTTTCTCTTCCATTTTTCTCTTTCTTTTCTTTCTTGCTCTTTCTTTCTTTCTTTCTTTCTTTCTTTCTTTCTTTCTTTCTTTCTTTCTTTCTTTCTTTCTTTCTTTCCTTCCTTCCTTCTTTCTATCTTTTCTCCCTTCCTTCCTTTCCTCCTTCCCTCCCTCCCTTCCTTCCCTCCCTCCCTCTCGTCCTCCCTTCCGTCCTTTCTTGGAACAAAGGGATGCACCGGACAGGCCAAATCCTAAGTCCTGTTATTGAACCCTGATTCAAGGAATCAAAACAATGAATAACGCAATAAGGAGAGCGCAAAGCAGATTAATAAAGAATCAGAGCGAGCGCTCCCAGCACCAGAGGTACAGGGAGCAGTGGAGACCAGCAGGACATCGGCCACAGGGAGAAAGCAGGCTTCTTCCAGAGCCGTGACCCTGGGGGAGGAGACAGGTAATTCTCACACCGAGCTGGTAGCACTAGGTCTTCTCATGCCCTGCCCCCTTTTAAAATCTATTTGTTGAAACCAAAAAGAAAAAAATAAAACCCAGCTTACCCATTTCTCCCATCCCCCATGCTCGCACCCCCAACCCCTGCCTCTGGCAACCCTGATTTTCTACTCTGTATCTATGAGCTTATATTTATTTATTAATTTGTTTATCTATTTATTTATGTGTAGATTATACATATAAGAGAGATCAGATATGGTATTGGCTTTTCTCTGCCTGACTGACTTCACTTTGCATAAGGCCCTCGAGGTCCCTCCATGTTGCCACAAATGACAAGATTTCATTCCTTTTACGGCGAAGTAATAGTCCAGTGTATAGATACCACAATTTCTTTATCCATTCATCCATCAGTGAACACTTAGGTTGTTTTCATGTCTCAGCTATTGTAAATAACATTGCAATAGATACAGGAGCGCAGCTATCTTTTCAAGTTAGTCTTTTCTTCTCCGGAAAAATACTCAGAAGTGGAACTGCTGGGTGCTCGAGTAGTTCTATGTTTGTGTCCTACGGACCTCCATACTGTTTACCATAGCGGCTAAACCAATTTACATTCCTACCAACAGGGCACAAGTATACCCTTTCTCCATGTTCTCGCCAACAACTTGCTATTTCTTGGATTTTTGTTTCATTTTGTTTTGTAATAGCCATTCCTAACAGGTGTGATGTGATGTTTCACTGTGGTTTTCACTTGCATTTCTCTGGTGATTAATGATGTTGAGGTTCTTTTCATGTAACTTTTGGCCATCTGTATGTCTTTTATGGAGAAAAAGTGTCCGTTTAGATTTTTTTGCCCATTTTTAAATTGGATTGTGGGTTTTTTACCTACTGAGTTGTATGAGTTCTTTATGTATTTTGGATATTAGCCCTTTATCAGATACATAATTTGCAAGTATTTTCTCCCATTCAGGGAGCTGTCTTTTCACTTTGTTGATGGTTTCCTTTGCTGTGCACAGCTTTTTAGTTTGATGTAGTCCTACTTCTTTTTTGTTTTGATAGCAGATTCAAAAAATCATCATCAAGACCTATGTCAAGACCTATGTTGTTGTTTTTTTTTCCTGGAGCCTCTGTGTTAAGGCAGAATTCCTCTAGGTTAAGCCAATCCATCACCTAGGAAGCAAGGCTATTCAACAGACTAACTCAAATTCAATTCATGTCATCAGGTGCTTATTAACTAGTTCTCAAACTAACACTGTCTCAAGCAACATGGGGTCCTTCCTGGAAAGGAACCGAACAAAACTACAGCATTGATCCACTACCTGATTAGAACAAAAATGCTGCTTTTGACAAACATGCAAGTGCAAGGGTCCGCCCCCTTCCCCGCCCCCTCCCCATCACCGCTCCATCAGTTTGCCTCCAAACCAAGAGCTGGGCATCTAACCACTGATTAGAGGTCCGACCACCAGGTGCCCTCTGGGTGGTCTGCAGGCCCCCACCCAGGATGAACCAGTTTCAGTTCATTGCCTGGAGGGAAAAAAAGGAAGTTTAACTCAAGCACAAAATTAACTTAGTGGTATATTACATGTAACTATACTCTTTATTACAACACTTTTCTATTTTTAAAGTATAAAGTTGTTTAACTTGGAAGAATAGGAGCTGCTTCCCCAAGCATGTGTGGGAGCTCATGGCTCCTTCGGAAACTGCCGGCTGCAAAACTGCAAAGTGCTCCTAACAACAAAACTAAGATAACTGCACTATTATCTTGCCAACTGATTTTTCTCATATTTTTAACAAAGTTGGTAATATGAAATGACATGTAAAACCAAACAATTGCTAAGTGTGTTGATGGTACTTGAAAGGGCTTCTTGAGAAACTCCCTGCAACCTGCATCGAGTGTCTCTCGATTTAATAAGCCTCGGAAACTGCCCGCAAGGCGGTGGGGGTTTCCTTTAAATAAAGAGAACCTGATTCTGCCCAGGTTTTCTGCCCCTTGGGGACTGAAGACTTACTGTTTTATGGGGGGGGGGGGGATCTTTGACGGGCAGGTTAAAAGTAAAGCGACAGGCTTCAGCTTCTATTGGGAAAAATGGCTCAAAGTCCCCAGTTTTTAAGAAAAAGAACGCTTCCTGGGAAAAGCCCATTGCCAGCTGAGGGTGCTGCGTTCCGGAGAGGTGGCCAGAAAGGCGAGAGGCTGCCGTCGGGCCGAAGTTGGGGGCTGCCCGTCCAGCCTGCCTGGCCCCGGGAGCCCCTACCTGCATTCCTCAGCTTCTTGTTCCGATACACGGACAGGATGACCAGGAGGTTGCCCAGGATGTCCACCACGATGGTGAAGATGAGGACGAAGGCCAGCGTGGAGGCCAGCCACGAGGGTCGCGGCCGCGCGTCCTCGCCGCCGTCGGGCACCTGCTGGGAGGCGTTGAGCAGCGCGCTGCTATTGCCCTTCACGGTCCCGCCCGGCGCGCCCCACGGCTGCCCGGCCATCGCGCGCGACCCCCGAGCGCGGCGCGATCCCGCTCCGCCACCTGTCTGGCTCCTCCTCGGCCTCCCTCGTCAGCTCCCGTCCCAAACGCTGCTTCGCAGCCGCCCTGCCCGCTCCGCTGCCCCCTGGCGGCCGCACTGTGCACGTGCAGCCCCAGCCCGGTGACCCCTGGCTTCCAGCCCGCGGGCTGCTCGGACCGCCCGGCTCGCGGCCGCATCCCGCACCACGGGTCGGCAGCGCCGCCATGCGGGAGGCCCGGGTCCAGCCGCCCGCGCTTCAAGGGGGCAGTAAGTCCGCCGAAGCCTTCGTCGCGCTTTGGTTCGTCGCGTTTCCTCTCTGGGACATTTCCCCAGACTGAGGGGGCGCGACCCCTTCCTCGGATTGAGAAGCCTTAGGCAGCCACCATATGCCCCAAAGTCCTTACCGGTCAACTGGAGGTCAGGACCGGCCTAACTCATCCACCTGGTAGAGAGTGAGGTGAAACAAAATCAAGGAACATTCTCTGGCGGTATCGCACTACGTACCAAACAGAAATCATTCCGCAGCTCCGCACCCCCACTTCCAACCCCCGCACCCCCGCTGAAAAGGCCAGCCACAATGTTTTTTATTTTTAACTTTTTTGCCATCCATAATTTTGATAATTTTTCTAAACAGCTACCTTTGTTTTGAGATTTCTTGAACTCTGTCCTTCACATTCAAGGGCTTGTCCTCAACTGCGGGACAGCCCCTGCTGGCTTCCCGGGGCGTCAGAACGATAAGGGGGGGACGCTGCCGGCTGAAATGACCGAAGGGCCCACTGGGAACCCTGAGTCAGAGCAACTGCACACTTTTCCTGTCGCTTTCAGATGTCACGGACCGCATAGTTTCCAAGCAGCCACAGCCTTGCTTCTGCAGCCACGCGCCAGCCGTCCGCTCGCAGGTGTGAGCAGCCCAGACCCAAAACACCTGCCAGCGCGAAGCCCACCGGGCTCTCCCTGCGGCCCAGGGTTGCCGCATAGTCACACTATGGCTTTTAAAAATAACTCCACTTGTCCATGAAACCGACCACCTCAGCCGTTCTTACCAGCCCCCAGGCCTGGGGACTCATTCCAAAAGAATTTGCGATGTGGCAAGACAAGGCCGGAACTTTCCAATAAAACAGCCAGACTGGTATTTATCAAGCAAATCAATAAATCCACCTGTATCCCCTGCATGACTCGGGTTTCCCCTTTCCCTTTTATAGCTGTCCTATACCTGTGCTTCAATGGTAAAGTCCTAGATTAAAATCGATTCCCTTCAGTTCCTGAATACAGTCGTTCAGGAAATAATTTACATAGCGGCATTTGGCACAAGGGCTCAAAACATAGGCCTCTGCCGGCGAGTGGCCTCTTGAACTACATGTGTGTACAGATGAGATACAGAGGTGAAATGGGGAGTCTGCAAGGAAAGAGAGCACCGAGGAAGGAATTAATGGATACATTACATCAGTTGAATGATTGGTTTTTTTAAACGAATAAAGCCATTTTAAGTTCACAGCAAAATTGAAGGAAAGCACGGATTTCCCAAACGCCTTCCGTCCCCCATACCGCACAGCCTCCGCGCTTTCTGCAGCCCACACTACAGGGGCACCTTCGTTAGAATCTACTAACCTGCACTGACACCGCGCCAGCACCCAAGGTCGTCAGGGTTCATTCCTGGCATTGCACGTCCTAGGGTCTGGACAATGACATGTATCCTTTATTATGCTATCATAGAGAGTATTTTCACTGCCCTAAAAATCCTCTGTGCTCTGCTGATTTATCCCTCCCTCCCCTCAACCCCTGGCAACCATGGATCTTTTTTACTGTCTCCATAGTTTCGCCTTTTCCAGAATATCATAGAGTTGGAATCGTACAGTATATAGCCTCCTCACATTGGCTTGTTTCACTTAGTAGTGTGAATTGAAATTCCGTGTCTTTTCATAGCTTGATAGATTATTTCTTTTTAGCACTGAATAATATTCCATGTCTGGATATACCACAGTTTATTTATTCATGCCCCTGCTGAAGGAGATCTTTGTTGCCTTCAACTCTGGGCAGCTATGAATAAAGCTGCTATAAACACCCATGTGCAGGTTTTTGTGTGGACCTGAGTTTTCAATTCCTTTGAGGAGTAACAAGAAGAATGATTGCTGGAGCTTAAGTACGGTACACTTAATTGTATAAAAAGTCACCGAAATGTCTTCCAAAGTAGCGGCACCACTTTGCATTCTCCCCAGCAATGAACGGAAGTTCCTGTTGCTCCACATCCTCACCAGCTGAAAGCCAAAGATAAAAAGTACTGAAAGAAAAACAAGATATTATGTATGGGGGAACAATTAATCCAACTAACAGCTGATTTCTCATCAGAAACTATATTAGCTTTCAATTGCTGTCACAACAAATTGGCTTAATTAAATTAATTTAGAGGCTTAAAACAACACTCGTTTATTGCCTCACAGTTACGCAGTCCGGAAGTCCAGGTAGAGAGTGGCTCAGCAGGGCCCTCTGTCAGAGCTTTGCAAGGACAAGATCAAGTGGTGAGCAAGGCTCTGTTCCTTCCTGGAGGTTTTAGCGATCAGTCCGCCTATTCACGCTGTTGGTGGAATCCAGTTCCATATTGTTGTAGGACTAAGGTCATCCTTTTAATTTTAAAGCTGAATAATCCTAAATATTTTCTAACTTACTAGAAACTCAGTACTATTTAAGTAGCTATTTTTACATACAGACTTAGAAGGTTTGAAGGCCATGCTGTCTAATGTACAATGATCTAAAAGGTAGAGCTTTATAGTCAATAATGCAAGGCCCTTTTTCCAAATCCTTTTGCTAACATATGAATTCCTATCTCTCTACATTTTTATAGTAACTCTATAACTTTATTAATGCATTGCTGGTGTTCGTTTAGAGAATGCATGCTCCAAAGTGAAACATTAACAATACATTAAACTATTACAGTAGCCTCCTGGCATTCCTCTAAAAGATTTTATTCGCCTACTTATGATTGGGGGTAAAAGATTCAACACGGGATGACATCCTTTCCACCCTGGCTCCGCAACGGTAGGTCCCGCTGACCAGCAGATGCTAAAACTCCGAAATACGTCGCCTGTGTCTCTTAACACTTAAAACTCCAGCCAAGTATTTATCCACTGTTTAAGCTGTCAAATGCTAATTAATGTACACACTTATATGAAAAATCGACCTTGCCCTTAGCAAATTTCTTGATATTTCTTCCCGGCGCCATAAGCCATCACCCAGAAAGGTGCGACCCTTGCAGAATTATGCAAGAAGCCCCTTTAATGTGTGTGCGTGCCCGTGTGCATGTACGTGCCTGTGTGTGCACGTGCGTGTGTGCACGTGTGTATAGGGGTGCTTAAGAAGTGTCTGAGGTAAGTCTTCAAGCCTGCTCTGCCTCTGGTATGAAGTAGAGCAGATCCTGTTGATTCTAACCCTCCGCTCTCCCTCCATCCCTGTGGCACGGAGTCGGCCATTGTCTCTTACAGGAATTACTGTCACAGCCTCCTAAGTAACTTAAATATGTTCAGAAGTCAGTGGCTCCCCTTCCATTTAACTGTAACACTCCCTTGTATTAAAAGCGAATAGACAAATATACCCATCCATACCTACAGCCCTTCCAAGGATGGGCATTGTCCCTCTGCGTCACGCCAAATTCCCCAGGTTTTCCAAGACCTTTCAAAACTCGGCTTTCCAGCCTTGACCTCCCTGAGCGCCCTGTCCCTGACTGGGCACCTGCTCCGCTCCCCAACCCTGTGCACTTTCTCCAGCTCCTCAGGTCGTGTTCACCCTCTTGCCTCCAGGTCTCCCTCATGTGCCTTCGGCAGGAAGCACCCCTCCCCACCGCTTCTCTGGGGTCACTCTGATGTCGCCGTGGCCGTGCGCTCCTCCCCCGAGTCTCGGCCATCCTCCCCTGCCACGCCCCCCCTGCCCTGGTCCCCGTGTGCCCTGCGTCCTGATACCAAGCACGTGCCGTGCTGCGCCTCTCCGTTTTCTGGCTGGAATCCCATCACCAGACTGGGAAGCAGCCCCGTGTCCGGTGTACAGCGGGCACCTACAATTATTTGTTGAATAAAATAAGAAAACAAAAGAATCCATCATTGTCTGGTGGCTTTGAGATAACATAATTTCTGTGAAATTATGTCTTTTATCATATTTGGAAACTTGTAATTTATCAGGAAAAACGCTCTTTGTCAGGCTAATGGATTTTTAATGCATTTGTCACCCTCAAGTGATGAGACTTTTTTTTATCTTTATTTTTCCTGTCGAAAGCAAGAAGGAGGAACTATATTTTCACTCAAAGAATTTTTATATTGTATTGTTAGGTGAGTATGAATTTTATTTGTTTGCCCGTTGTAAGAAGATCATTGCCTAACTGTAAGATGTAAAACAGTGTAATTCAAGAATTTAAATTTTATTTAGGGTATATATATTTTTTTCATTAAATATACATGTATCCTTATTTCAAGAGCTAATGATATGATAACATAATCTTTTACTATTTCTTAATGTTATTCACAAGATTTCATTTTATACTTATCCCAGTAAAATATTACTTACAGAAGAAAATAAATAGTTTAAGGAATGTTAAGAATAGGTCAAGTTTCTTGTTGATATGCACAAAAACACATGACAAAACAGTTTTGTAATTTGCCAACCTTATGACTGTGGAGGCAGATATAAAATTCACATACCCCATGATTCTGCTAGAAATCAGTGGAACCAAGAGAAAAGCACGTGCTTATCTCAAAACCAGCTACCTGGGTTGGGGCTGGCAAGGAAGTCCTGAGACTTTCCTTCTGATTCAGAGCGGCCTGGCCTGCAGACGCCACGGAGCTGGCTACCGCCTGACACACCATGGTCCACCTAGACACCTGCAGGTCTACAGAAGGCCAGTTGCGAACATAGAAAAGATGCCAGGAAAAATGCAGTATCGAGTTCCAAATTATGTATCACAATATGATTCCTAGTAGCAGGGATGAAGCAAAAAGCTT